CATGGGATACATATATTATATGTATATACTGGGTGTATATATGTAGAAGAGAGGTTTCCGCGACGTTGATTGGGAAGGAGTGAAGGTGAGGCTCAGCCAGTCATCACTAGCTGTGGTTTCGGCGGGATGAAGAGGTGTCTGTATAATAAAAGGAGTTTCCGCGCCGCTGATTGCACTAGACGGGGATGAGAGTTAACCAGTCCCTGCTGACGACGGTGTTCTGGGGAGATGATCGAAGCTTTGAAGTCTCTCCGTGTTGGAAGGTAAGAAATGTGTTTGTAGGTTAGATTTCACCCATAGCTGGAGGTAGGAGACGAGTCGACTCTGTGTCTTGTTTAGTTTAAGACACAAAACTGATGACTAACTTAACCTCTCGCTTAAACTACGACACCAAGCTGACGGCACATCGAAAGTACATTAAAACTCAACCCGAATCTATGACAAGTAGATACGATGAAGTGAGGGGGGGGGGGGATCTGAAGAAAGATTCACCTAAGGAATTCTGAAAAATCCGTAGCTGACCTTCTACAGAATAGGGTTCGGCTTCTCCACGGACGCTCGCTATAAATTCTGCAAGTGATTACCTGCACGATTGGTCAATTATCCGACTGCCCCGGTGCGTTAGATAAAATTATGGAATACCGACCACCGCCCAATTATGTTCGCCGTATAGTGTAAACCGCCATGTTGTTGTTGTTGGTATCCGGTGTCCTAGCTGCTGTGTGTGTATGTGCCTGGATATACTGTTGTTGCTATGGACGTGTCTTGGTGTTATGTAGTGTGCTGTGTACTTGTTTGTGTGCCAAGTAGTGTGTCGTTGTTGTTTACTTGTATGTGGGTCTATAAAGCTGTGCTATGCTGTGGTGTTTTAGTTGTGCTCTCCAAGGATGATTGAACGTGATACACTGCCATACACAGACCTTGTTGGGTTAACGAGGGGAACCTGCTGCTGTGGTTTCAGATCTGTGTTACCTGTACATGAACTTAGGATTACGAATATGTGTCCTTGATAATTCACTAATGTCAAAGTGAATGAGAATTTGACGGATAAAAGTTAGCTAAGATAAACTAAATAATTAAAAAGATGTAAATTGGTCGTATAGGAATAAGATCATCATCACAAACTAAAATTAGAAATCGTGAAATGTCCAGAAGTAACATAAAATTAATGTGTTTATAATGTACTAGACGTATGAACCACCCAGGAGGTCGTTACGGGGTGAATAAGTGGACAGCGATCGTTGTGTGCGTTGAGCTTGGGCTTCGTTCCCGCGATGGACAACAACTCAAGAGCTGACATGGTTGAGGCTGTTGCTACCTTGAGATAATCCCCACGAGAGAGAGGGAGGGAGGGAGGGAGGGAAGGGGGTCTATTTTTAATTAATTTACCCATGTGTTATAACCAACCCAGTGTAAACATGAGGTTACTACACATGTATCACTCATTACAACGCCAAGAAGTGAAAAAAAAATACAACTCTGTAATTCATATGAGACCAAAGACATTCCTTAGAACTGAACCATTAAGTGAAGCGGTTCCGAAACGTTTTCTAATCTTAATATACCTGTTGAGTAATTGATATCTCAGGTATGATATATTTTAATATATTTCACCTCTTAAGAAACAATCAAAACTTAGTTGTAATTAATATTTATCATTAATGAAGTCTATGGAAATTTTGAATATGAAAACGCCAACCATTTTCGAAGCGGTTCAGTCGGTGATTCATTTCTTCCCCAACAGTTCAAAGTTCGACCATATATATTACGTGTGGTTGACTAATGGTTTTGACGCTGTTAATCTTGCATAAGCTGAAGAGTAAAGCTAAGTTATGAGTTAAAAGCTATGCAGTAATTTGGTTTATGGTGTTCAGTAATTTCGGTAATTTGGTTAGCGCTATACATTAATTTGGGTATTTTGGTGAGTGCTATACATTTACAGTAACTTGATTAGAGCTATGCATTAATTTTGGTATTTTGGTGAGTGCTATACTGTATTTTGGATAGTGCTATACAGTGCTTTCAGGTTTGCGCTATACATTATTTTGGTTATCGTTATACATTAATTTGGGTATTTTGGTGAGTGCTATACAAGTCTTTGGTGAGTGCTATACAGTGCTCTCAGGTTGGTGCTATACAGTGACGAGAGATGAGTCAGCTTTAGGTTATGGGAAGTAAAGGGATGTAGAGCCGAGTTAGTGGAGGTATTTTATCAGTTTAAAAAAGTTAAGAGCGAGGCGAGGATTAAGTCACTAACGACCCAAGTTGAGGAGACTAAGAGTTTCCGGGGGGTTGACTTTACCTGCCGGAGAGAGAGAGAGAGAGAGAGAGAGAGAGAGAGAGAGAGAGAGAGGTAAGATACTTGAGAGACGAGACAGTAAGGAGAGTCTTAAATGTAATACTTCTTTAAATATGTATAATAACGATTATTAAGAATTACTTTTGAAATTATTAAGTATAAGTCGAGGTAAAAATCTGTAAAATACTGGACAGTAAATACTTCAATTACATTTACACAAGGTAATTTTGAGTACATTTGAATGTAATTGTTACATGGTATTACTTTATAGTTGTGGTACAAGCGTGACCATTACTAGAGTTGTACACTTTATTGCAAGACGACGTGTAATTATTGCATGATGTACGCTTATTGAAAGTCAGTCGTTGTACACAGTACATTTATCCTTGCTTGCTGGTGTATACGTGTTGCAGGACGGTGTACTCTTATTGCAAGGTGGTGTTCACTTATTGCAATGGATGTAAATCAATTGCAAGTTTGTACATTAATTTTACAAGACGGTGAACACTTGTAGCACGATGTTCACTTACTGCAAGGTAGTGCACACTTATTACTGCACGACGTTTGCCTATTGCTATATAATGTCACTTAACGCAAGTTAATGTACACTTATTGCGAGACGATGTACACTTACTGCCAGATAATGTACATTCATTGCAAGATAATGCAAAATAACGGCAAGATTGCACATTTATTGCAAGACAATGTACACTTATTGCAACAGGATGCACACTTATTGCCCAGTACTAGTCGGCTCCTAATGTACAGGTGGGTGGCCCAGGGCTTTGAGCCGTGAAATTTACACCGACCATGAGTTTTCTAGTTTTATTCTCGGCCTTGTCTTGTGTTGCTGTGTACTAACTCCCTTGGTGGTTCCTGCTAGCAGATGGTGGTTGGTGGGGTGGTGGTTGATAGTGTGCTGGTTGTTAATAGTGGGTGATAGTGTTAATTGGGGGTGGTGGTGAGATGGTGATTGTTGTTGGAGGTTCCTGATAGTGGTTGGTGAAGGTGGTAGATACTGGTTGGTTGTGGTGATGGTTGATGGTGGTTGGTGTTGTTTTGGCTGCAGAGTTAGTTCTCACGTCATGTTTTTTTCCCACACTACACAGCCAAGTTATTAGCGTTACCCTTGAAGGTAAGAAAGGTCCCCTCTCCCTCCATCACCTCCAACTCTCACCTTTCCCCCTTTTCCCTCCCTTCCCCCCCTTTTCCCTCTCTTCCCCTTCCCTTATCGTTTCTCCACCCCTTCTCCTCTTTTAGCCCCCTCCCTCCTCCACCCTTCCCCTTCTCCACCCCTTTTGTTCCTCCATCTCTCCCCATCCTACCCCTCTTCCCACCCTACCCCCCTTGCCATCCTACACCCCAACCCCATCCTGCACCCTGCCATCCACCCCTCTTCCCCTCACCCTTGCCATCCTACACCCCGTGCCATCCTACCCCCCTTGCCATTCTACACCTCATCCTACCCCTACCCTTCACCCTGTGCCATCCTACCCTCTCTTGCCATCTGCACTTACCATCCTACTCCCCTTTCCATCCTCCACTCATCTCATTCCTTCATCTCCCCTTGTTCCATCTCCCCCCTCCTCCAACCCTCTTCCTCCTCCACACCCCTCCCATCCCCACCCTTCCTGTATCTCAACCCTTCACCCCCTCCCCCTCACACCCCCACCCCACCCCCACAGAATGGTCTCACGTGTTACAAACAGCCGTCCATCACCACGTTCTAAATTACAAGTCAGGTGTGTACAAGAGGTCAATAGATTTAGCGGGCCTTCGTGTTATCGTGTGATAATTCATAGCATTTACCTTCCTAAAGTCACAAGTGTGTACAAGAGGGTGGTCGATCTTAACCCACCCACTGTGTTATTTTGTGATTATTGAGCTCGTTGTGTTTAAAAAATCATCAGGAAATTGACGATTGAAGAGATTTTGAGATGAGGTAAGATGGCTGGTGATTTCAAGCTGGGTGAGATGGTTGGGGGGTGTTTTCAAGCTGGGTGAGGTGGTTGGGGGGTGTTTTCAAGCTGGGTGGGTGGTGGTATTTGAGAGCAGACGGGCCCCAAGTTTCGTCGACCTTTTATAACACCAGCTTAGTAGATGTAACCTTTCCACCTTGTTATTTCGCGTGGATTTATATCGATAATCTCCAAAATCTCAAGGAAAATTGATGGTTGATGAAGGATTTTGAGAAAGAGTTGAAGGATTGAGAGTCATGGCCATCAGAATTAACTATCTATCTCAACCGCCTCATAATAACACAGTCCTAAACCTATATCATGTATTTTTTCTTTGTCAAATCACATCAATTACCTCACCCAAAAAAAAAAAGCCACACAACCCATGAAATTTAGTGATTGATATTTTTTTTCGAGGCTGGTGATAGGATTTGGTGTACCGTCGAGAGAGTAAACTGGGGTCAAGCGTCTATCCTGGCCAGCGTCTACCTTGGCCAGCGTCTATCCTAGCCAACGTCTATTCTGGCCAGCTGTTACGATCAATAAGGAAAAACAGCACCAATGGCCTGCGTGTGTTATTGCTCCGTTATTATCTCGTTATATCAAGTGGCTTATCATTATCGTAATGGCGCCCGCTCAAGCGTTTACCAGATCCGAGGTTTGGATTAGTGGTGGTACACACTAGGTCAGAGCCAGACCCGGCCAGACCAGATTAGACCAGAACAGAATAACTCATCCACTAGACCAAACCAGACCAACTCATCCGCTATCCCATACCAACTCATCCGCTATCCCAGACCAGCTCATCCGCTATCCCAGACCAACTCATCCGCTATCCCAGACCAACTCATCCGCTATCCCAGACCAACTCATCCGCTATCCCAGACCAACTCATCCGCTATCCCAGACCAACTCATCCGCTATCCCAGACAACTCATCCGCTATCCCAGACCAACTCATCCGCTATCCCAGACCAACTCATCCACTATCCCCAGACCAACTCATCCGCTATCCCAGACCAACTCCATCCGCCTATCCCAGACCAACTCATCCTCTATCCCAGACCAACACCAACTCATCCGCTATCCCAGACCAGCTCATCCGCTCATCCGCTATCCCAGACCAACTCATCCGCTATCCCAGACCAACTCATCCGCTATCCCAGACCAGCTCATCCGCTATCCCAGACCAACTCATCCGCTATCCCAGACCAACTCATCCGCTATCTCAGTCCAACTCATCTACACAGACCATACCAACTCATCCGCCCGACCAGACCAACTCATCCACTATCCCAGACCATGGAAGACCAGAGCTACGGACCAAAACAGATCCAGATAGACTTAATTGAATAACCTAGAGTCTCAACTTACATTTGATGCCATTTTTTGACGTGATTTTTGTGTAATAGTTTTAAGACTCACATTTGAGTCTCCAGTTACGAGATATTTTTTTAACTTTAAGAGCCTTTTTGTGAATCCTGATCTTGGTGCGTTGAGGTAAAGCTAAGACACGTGATTGGTTAGTGATTGAAGCCTTAGTTCGTGATTGGTTGGCTTGGTTAAGGCATTAGTTCGTGATTTGTTGGCTTGATTGAGGCCTTAGTTCGTGATAGGTTGGCTTGAATAAGGCCTTAGTTCGTGATTTGTTGGCTTCAAAACGCTCTTAACTCGTGATTGGTTGATCTGAATGGAGGTTTAGTTCGTGATTGGTTGGCTTGATTGAGGCTTTAGTTCGTGATTGGTTGGCTTGAATAAGGTCTTAAATCGTTATTGGTCGATGTGCAGAGAGGCCTAAGCTGACGAATGGTTGATTAGAATAGAGGATTTGAAAGTATTAAGGAGATTGAAAAAAAAACTGTTCTGATTTGTATATTAATTTTTATGCTCGGAACATCTCGGGGGAGGAAGGGCGGTGTTACGTTCACTGTGCCTTTGTTTGCTACTGTTTACGTTCACCACTCACGTTCTTTCAGCTTTTGTCCACTTGTCTACATTCACTTTACCTGTATTTATCTCTTACGTACATTCTCACTTTGTTTACACTCTCCACGTTCATTCTCACTTTGTTTACACCCTCCACGTTCATTCTCACTTTGTTTACACGTCACGTTCACAAAGGTTAGTTTCGTTCGCTTTGTTTGTTGACGCCTTGGCCATGAATCCCCGCGGCTTCACGAGCGCTAGGACAAAGTGGTTTTACACACCTTGTCGTGAAAATTAATGCTGAACACTTAATTTCAGATCAAATAAAAGTAGAAGCAATTGTCACGTCGCGTTTGTGAGAGGTGGGGTAGGGAGGTGTATACTGGGTGTTAGGGGGTTTATGTGCTGGGGAGGAAGGAAAGGTTGAGGTGGGTGAGGTGTGGAAGGAGGGGAAAAGGTTGGAGGTGCTGGAAATGAGAGGGAAGGAGGGGAGGGGAGTCAGAGGGAAGGAGAGTTCCGAGAAGATTTGTTTTTGGGGTGAGGGAAAGGAGAGGATGATTTCAAGCGTGAGAATCGGAGGGGAAGATTTGTTCTGGGATGGTTGGGGAAGGGAGGGGAGTGGGTAGGATCTGGGATGGCGAGAGGAGTTGAAGTGTAGGAAGAGGAGGGGTATTTTTTAGGGATAAGGAGGGTTAGGGGGTAAGGGAGAGCAGGGAGTAGGGTAAAGGAGAGGGGCTAGGAAGGGTGAGAGACATTTATCCTGCAAGGTTGGGAGGGGGGGTATTGGGGAAGACATCAAGTAGGCAAAATATATTCCAAACTATAAATTGCTAAAGAAAAAAATCCCTAGCTTTTAGCGGCTATGGAAATATACCCCAAGATTTCAGTGGCCTTAAGTTGCTCGGGAAAAAATATACCCCAAGCTGGGAGAGGTATATTCAAAGCTTTTAGTGGCTGGAAATATATGTCCCAAGCTTGTAATTATACCATGCTTTTAGCGGGCCAGGAGGGATATATTCCAAGACTTAGTGACGGGGAGATAGGCTGTATATTCCATGTATACGTTTGTAAAGCTTAAGAACCAAGTTAGACAGAGATAAACACACGCGTGACTGAGGTTAGGTGTGTCGGGGGAAATAGAGTGTAAAGGTGTAATGTAATTTCCTTTAAATGTGTACAGGGAATGAAGAAATTGCTAAGGAAAAAATGTATACATGAAACGTCTTATGGTTGTCAATGTAAACAGTAAATATTAATGGTAAAAAAATGTATACATGAAACGTCTTATGGTTGTCATGGAAACAGTAAATAATAATGGTAAAAAAATGTATACCTGAAACGTCTTATGATTGTCATGGAAACAGTAAACATGAAATGAGGTCGACACACTGTCTTCCTTGCCTTATAATGCTAGACGGTCGCCTCCGTTCCTGAGTGTAAGAAGTTTAATAATTCTAAAGCGTGAGAAATGTTTAATTCCTGGAGGTGTTCTGTTCGTGTTGAAGGTGAGGGAAGGTGATGACAGTGAGTTATATGAATCATGCTCGCTCCTTTTACCACTCTACACGAATTAATCACCTTCACCCACCCATTCTCCTACTCACTCACCTGCTTACCCATCCACCTTACCTCCCCACCCACCCACCCACCGACCTACACATCTCCACCCACCTACCTACCTCCCCATCCTGGATTGAAATTGGCGTTCCTTGCAACATCTGCGCGCGCGCTCTCTCTCTCTCTCTCTCTCTCTCTCTCTCTCTCTCTCTCTCTCTCTCTCTCTTTGTTTTCCATTTTCTTTCCTTTCCTATTACCTTCATCCATCCCTTATGTAACCAATCCCCTCCCCTCTTTTTTTTCTTCCTGTGTGTGTGTGTGTGTGTGTGTGTGTGTGTGTGTGTGTGTGTGTGTGTGTGTGAGAGAGAGGATCACGTTGTAATGCTTTAGATTACACAGATGTTGTGGTCGGCTGGGAATTCCTGTTATCACTTTTGCATTTTTTTTATTCTGGAAACCCCCGAAAAATTATATTGCTATTGGAAGCCTTCTTCATGTCTCCACCAGCTATTGGAAACCTTCTTGTTGCCTCTACCAGCTATTGGAAACCTTCTTGTTGCCTCTACCAGCTATTGGAAACCTTCTTGTTGCCTCTTCCAGCTATTGGAAACCTTCTTGTTGCCTCTTCCAGCTATTGGAAACCTTCTTGTTGCCTCTTCCAGCTATTGGAAACCTCCTTGTTGCCTCTACCAGCTATTGGAAACCTCCTTGTTGCCTCCACCAGCTATTGGAAACCTTCTTGTTGCCTCTTCCAGCTATTGGAAACCTTCTTGTTGCCCCTTCCAGCTATTGGAAACCTTCTTGTTGCCTCTTCCAGCTATTGGAAACCTTCTTGTTGCCTCTTCCAGCTATTGGAAACCTTCTTGTTGCCTCTTCCAGCTATTGGAAACCTTCTTCATACCTCTACCAATATCTAGCTCTCTTTTTCTTGTCTTTCCCAGCTTCTCTCTCTCTCTCTCTCTCTCTCTCTCTCTCTCTCTCTCTCTCGACCGTCACTTGCTCCCACCAGTTCCCAGGCTCGTCTCCACCTCCAACTTCCTCCACACAAACTTCGGGAACGTCCTGGAGAGAAAAAATAAGAAAGTCGCAAGAACTCTCCTCCTCTCTCCCCCTTCACTTGGTCATACCCGCAGGTCTTTCCTTCTCCTCCTCCTCCTTCTTCTTCTCCTTCCGCCAACCCCTCCTCCTTTTTATTCTTCGTGTCTTCTTTTTAATTCGACAGCTCCTCTTCCTCTTCTTCTTAACTTGCCAATTCTCCCTCCTCTTCTTCTTAACTCGCCAATTCCTCTTCCTCCTCCTCCTTATTTCGCCAACTCCTCCTCTTCCTCTCTGACCATGTCTGCTATTTATCAACTTCTCTTCTTCTAATTGTTTCTCTTTTTGTCTTCTATATTTTTAGTGTCCTGATTGCTCTCTCTTCACTAGCCATCGTATTGGTCTGATTGGGTCTTTTTTTCAAACCTTAATGATTCCTCATTGGTCAATTTGTCACTAACTGCATTATGATTGCCGATTGGTCAGTTTCTTCCACTAACTCCCAAAGGGTTCCTGATTGGTTAGTTTGTTTCACTGACTCTCACTTGGTTCCTGATTGGTCATTATTGCGTTTCCCTCCTTTATTAACCTGATTGATAATTCGTTTTAGTTTTGAGACTTTTAATTAACTTTCTGATTAATTTTGTTTACGTTTCAAATGTTCATGGTTCTGACTGGCCCTCAGTTTCTTTAACTTAAGGCTCTGATTGGCCCTTTATTGCACGTCACCAACTAGGGGCTATGATTGGCCCTTTATTACATGTGACCGACTTCTCCTGGCAGTGATTGGTTCTTGTTCGTGTGTTTGATCTCCTGTGATTGGCCCGTTATTGAGCTGGGATCTTTTGTGATGGTTCCTGTAATTGGTTGGCTGTCACCCTCGTCGTTAGCTTATTTATCTTCGTTATCTTTGCCCTTATCTTCGTTAGGCTGTTTCAAGGTTTATTTTTCTATGATACTTTTAATTGAGGATAAATCTTTCCTCATGGCTATTTTTTTTAATTTGTCTATTTTTTATATATTTCAGGTGGGTATATTTTTTCTAAGTGTTTGTAAAGGTAGAAGGCTTTTTTTTTTCAGGGTGGAAACTTTGCTAAATGGACATTTTTTTTTTCTCGTCCTTACAATAGATTTTTGGGGAACTTTTTTTATATATTTGTTTTGTGTTTATTATTATTATTATTATTATTATTATTATTATTATTATTATTATTATTATTATTATTATTATTATTATTATTATTATGAGCATTGTACCCTGGTAACTTGTGGCACCCAGGTAATGTATGGCACCTGGGTAATGAGGATGGCACCTATGTTAATTAGGTTGGCAATCAGGTCATGTTTGGCACCTTGGTAATCCTAATGTATCGATTATAATTATACACATTTCACTATAAGATATTAATTACATTTCTCTCTCTCCTCAGGTAAGGCCTTGAACCAGAGTGACCGTGGGAAAAAGTAAGTGTGTGTGTGTGTGTGTGTGTGTGTGTGTGTGTGTGTGTGTGTGTGTGTGTGTGTGTGTGTGTGTGTGTGTGTGTGTGTGTGTGTGTGTGTGTGTGTGTGTGTGTGTGATTCTCCCTTCTGTTCCCCTCATCTTTATCTTCAGTTTTCTTTCTACTCTTTGACTCTCCCCCTTTCCTCTCTCTAGTATTTCCTCTCCTTCCTTCTTTCGTCCTTCGTTCTTCAGCTTTTATGTCTCTCTCTCTCTCTCTCTCTCGTTATTTACCTCACCTCCTTTTGTTTCTATATCTAACCAATCTGAACCCTTTCTTCACCTCTTCTCTCTTTAATCTTTGTCCTTTGTCTCTGATTCTCCTCCGTTCATTTGTTTC